AACTTAGGTCCTGAGATCACCTAAGAGTGGGGCAGGTGGCATCAGGATTCTGGCTCACAAATTGCCTGCAGTTCACTCATTGCCTGCCAATTAGAGAGATACTGTCTATATATACCCCCTAAAAAGCAATGGAAAACTGAGAACAACACATACACAGGTTCATTCAATGTTAAATACTGAATGCACTTCTACATTGTTCCCATTGACAACACACTCAGCAGCCCATTCGGAGTCCTGGTTGATGTGGTAAATAATAATAATAATCCTTGCATTTGATATAGCGCTTTTCACGTCGGGAGGACGTCCCAAAGCGCTTCACAGAACACACTGTAAAGTGAATTGACTGTATATTTGTGGGCGAACGCGGCAGCCAATTGCGCACAGCAATGTCCCACAAACAGTCGTAGATTGAAAATGACCAATTTATTATTGTTTTTGGTTTTTGGAGGGATTATTATTAGGCTCTGTGTGGAGTAAGGAAACTTGCCCAAGGTTTCGCCCTCTGCCTGGAATTGAACTCAGGTCTCTCACTTGCAAAGCGAGTGCTCTAACCACTGAGCTACAGGACTCCGAAGGAACATGAGGAACATAGGAACATATAGCCATTTAGCCTCTTGAGTCTGTTCTGCCATTATATTAGATCATGACTGATCTTTACCTCAACTCCAAATATTTTATATTTAAGTGTGTTTCCAGTGTTGTGAAGTGCTGTTTTTGTTTTTGTCGGTCAGTGAAACCACTCAAAGGTCAATGCAAGTTGAGGTAGAAGGTACTTCATTCCAATGGATGCATTTGATTTTTGAGCGAACGGTTTGAAAATGTTACCACGATTTAGCTCCAATATTCTAATTGTATTCCATTCCACTGGTGAAGATGGTGATGCACCTCGCTGGGAAATGTTGCAGCCTACTTATTTAAAGCTCCTGTTTATGTTGTGCCAACTCTATTATGAAAATTGTTGCATAATAACAATAATAATAAAAAGAGACATTATGCAGGCAGCGGCTTCCTTCCATACGAGTTGCTCAGCAAACGGTTTAATGAAAACTCGTAACGCAGCAGTCTTTCACGGAAACATTCCCTGCATTATCACCACCACTATTTTTTCATGAATTATTTACGGCTCTCTCAGAGAAACCATATAAAACAGCCCGACTCTAATATGCCTTTCATTGTAAGATGTTGTTTGCGCAGCTCCCAAGGACAGCATTATGGACAAGGTACACTGCAGTTTCCCTGACTTTTGAGTGTACATCATATGGTAGGTAATGCAATGTAACTGTTTGAATTGAGCTTGACGACATCCAGTTAATCGAGTATCCTTGACATCTTGTTGTACGAGACGTTTGATAAATTATTTTTAGCAACTTGACCCTTTTTGTTATCTAGCTTAATACTGCATTTATTTTGATATCTGGTCAAACAATCTAGGATTCAATCAGTTACACCAGATGTGCATTCATTTCGTGCACAGGATGCCAGCATTGGACTGAACGCAATGAAAATACTGCAACCCATCAAAAAGTGGGAGATAAATTCAGTGGAATAGAAAAATAACTAGAAAGAGAAAAGTGTTCAAACATTTAAGCTTAGCCAATAGTGAAGCGTTTGTCTCCACAGATTGGGAAAACCAGCAACTGCTGCAGTCAATTTGAGCACAGAAATTCAAAGTGGTAGTACTCTCATTTCTGTCATAAAGCCTGTGGGTTGAAGTCCCATGTTGGGACTTTGAACTCAGACAGCCTAAGCTGACACTCCAAACAGGCTGGCGGAGCACAGCATTGTTGGAGGTGATGTCCTTCGGATGAGACATTAAACTAAGGTTCCGTTTGCCTGTTTAGGTTGACATTAAAGATCCCATGGCATTCTTCAAAAAGAGAAGGGAGTTGTCCCAATGTCCTAGCCAACAATCCTCAAGCTAAAATTGATCATTCACTCCATGGCGTTTGTGAGACATTGCTGTGCGCAAATTAGCTGCTACATTTACCTACAAAGTGCAGTCACTATACCTGACAGTTTATCCTGTGAGGTGCTTTGGTACATCCTCTCCACATGAAATACAACCAAACGCATATCAAATGCAATGATTATCATTTTCATAATAATTATTGTTATTAATTATTATTATAACAGAGCTGTTACACAAGGTTGCTGGGAGACTTTGCGTCTTGTTGACAGTGTGTTGAAGGCTTCTGATATCCAGATTGACACTCTGATGGCTTCTTTGTGTCACAAAACATAATTTTGGTAAACAACAATAATAATAATAATCCTTGCATTTGATATAGGGCCTTAAATCCGCATCTCAAGCGCTTCACAGAATATACTGTAAAGTGAATTGACTATATATTTTGTTGGCGAAACAATAATACTTTTAACAACAACAACAACTTGGATTTATATAGCACCGTCCACGCCCGATGGCGCCTCTGAGCGCTTTACTGAGCCAGGGGGAGCGGCCGGAAGGTGACCAAAGGCGCGGTCGATAAGAAAGGTCTTCAGCAGAGACCTGAAAATGGGAAGGGAGGGAGCGAGACAAAGGAAGTGAGGAAGGGAGTTCCAGAGACTCGGGGCACAGTGGCTGAAGGCACAGCCGCCCAGGGTGGAGCGGAGGACTCGGGGGACAAGGAGGAGGCCAGACCCGGAAGAATGAAGGCAACGGGTACTGTTTTGAGGAGAGAGAGGGTCAGAGAGGTAGGGGCTGCAGAGGAGTGCAGGGACTTGAATACAAGGGTGAGGATCTTGAAGTCGATCCTCTCTGGGATAGGCAGCCAGTGCAGTCTGGCAAGGACTGGGGTGATCGGGGAGCGGAGTTTCATGCGGGTGAGAATACAGGCGGCAGAGTTCTGAATGAGTTGGATTTTATGGATGGTAGTAGATGGGAGACCGGCGAGGAGGGCATTGGAGTAGTCCATCCGAGAGGTGACAAAAGCATGGATCAGAGTTTCAGCGGCGTTTGGAGTGAGGTATTGGCGGAGACGAGCGATGCGACAGAGGTGGAAAAAGGCGGTGCTGGTAAGGGACCGGATGTGGGGGAGGAAGGATAATTGGGTGTCGAACCTGAACGTTTTATAAAGTGTAAGATGAAAACAGAGCAAAAGAAGCACCACTGGGCCATTTAAATTAGGGCTGTATTATTTTCCAATTTGATTACATTAAATATTGATGAGCGCGTTTCATCTAAAAGACAGTGGTGACCTTCAAAATACTTACATAAGTCCATTATTATTATATTTATACGGCCTTCATTTTATTCGTCCTAGGAAGTTTACAGTGATTTAATGGTTTAATAAATGGATTGAACATAGGAATAGCTAAGTATTCTCTCATCTATTTACTGCAGATGCACAAAGTACAATATGAATTATTAAAGCTTCTGTTATATATGCATAATAAGGTAACATATTTGGCAACCAACGGAATGTGGAGTCCTGTAGCTCAGTGGTTAGAGCACTCGCTTTGCAAGTGAGAGACCTGAGTTCAATTCCAGGCAGAGGGCGAAACCTTGGGCAAGTTTCCTTACTCCACACAGAGCCTAATAATAATCCCTCCAAAACTAAAAACAATAATTAAATTGGTCATTTTCAATCTACGACTGTTTGTGGGACATTGCTGTGCGCAATTGGCTGCCGCGTTCGCCCACAAATATACAGTCAATTCACTTTACAGTGTGTTCTGTGAAGCGCTTTGGGACGTCCTCCCGACGTGAAAAGCGCTATATCAAATGCAAGGATTATTATTATTATTATTATTATTATTATTATTATAATGATAGTATTGAATCAACCCTGTGTGGCAATTTCAGTAGTCCAGTTCCTTAGCCAGGCAGGTCCGCAGTACTCCAGGGTACTGCTGATAACAGGACAGCCAACAGGGATTCTTCTCACGCTGGGTAGCATCTGGGACTGTTTAACAGTGGCGGAACATAACACCAAGCCGGGGGGAAGGGGAGTAACCATAGGCACGGTCAAAGAAGAAGGTCTTCAGGTGTGATCTGAAAATGGGGAAGGAGGGGGCAAGGCAGAGGAATTGAGGGAGAGAGAGATCCAAAGTTTCGGAGCGTAGTAGCTGGAAGTATGCCTGCTGAGGGTGAAACAGAGGGCATGAGAGACATGCAGGAGGCCAGAGCCACCCGAGTGGAGGCAGGGAGTGGTGACGTGGGGAATAAGCAGGTGGGAGAGCGAGGGAGGTGCCAGGGAGTGAAGGGCTTTGTAGACCAGGGTGAGGATCTTGAAGTCGATCTGATATTGTGATAGGGAACCAGTAGAGCCTGGTAAGGACTGGTGTGATGGGGGTGTGGATTTAGAGTGGCTGAGTACAAGGTGGAGGAGTTATGGAGCAGTTGGATTTTGGGGTTGGGGAAACTAGCGAGAAGGGCATTTGAATAGTCGAAGCAGGAGGTGACAAAGACATGGACGAGCGTTTCGGCTGTGCAGGGTATGAGATATGGTTGGAGTCGGGCATTGTGACAATATGCAGTACAGTATATGGAAAGTATGGGCTTCAATAGCTTTATTAAAATAAAAGGGTACAGAAACCTGTCTCAATGTCATCAGATAGTACAGTACTTGTGTATATGTTGTGTATAACTCATATAAAATACATAACAACATAAGTCATATACAGGGTGACCAAAAAGTTGTGATACTATTACAATGTCTAATAAGTCTTAAAGAAATTATTTTTTTACAGATAATAGGGTAGCAGAAAGATAAGACTTTTGTGTCACTCTGTATAATATGACTGATATGACTTAAGCATTATGTCAGTTTTACTGTATATAAATGTAAGCTGTAATATGTATTCACAGATGAATAAATTCCTTTGCTTGCCTGCCTCCCTCCTTTGATGAAACATTCCAAATTTGAAAGTCCTAATGCATACCAGGAGGAAGAATACATTTCATCATTTTAATTGTCGTTAGACAGGTGGGACCTTTTCCACATTGCAGATCTACACTTTTCCGATGACACCAAAATGAATTTTGACAGAAAGGGCAAAATCCTCCACGGGATTTTTCAAGACTTGTTCCGACTTGATGTTCGACATTGGGGTTGAATCGCATCGAGAAATTAAACTCCTATCAGTTTGGTGATTACATGTAATCTGAAAAGAAAGCACAATACAAAACGTGCACCGTGGGCTCATTTAATCTCCAGTTCTTTTCAAAGGGAGAAGAATGTAATTGTTTGTATTTATATGCATGAACTTCTCAACAAGCGGGCACAGCTAAATTGTCAACATAATGTCACACTTTCATGTCAAAACGGAATGAACTTCTGCTCCAGATACGCAATGACTAATTTCCAACACGAGGCGATAGGGTTGAAATTGAGTATATTAATCAAATTTCATATCCCAGATACGATGACTGCACTGTTGAATTCATTTGCTTTAGCTAAAAGAGAAAGATAAATGACTAGGATGGGAAACCATATCTAACAGAGATATAATTATAGTGATAATGAGTTGTTTCACATACAGAGCACAAGATAGATTGACACTAACTCTTAGTTTAACCCTATCCAGTCTGTAGCACTGAGAGCCTGGTGCAGCACTTTTATATGCTGCTGTTGAATAAATTCTCTAAACTTGTTACAATTTATTTTCGCACCAACTGTAACCTAATGCCAGGGAGTTGCAGCGAATAGTTCAGCATGCTACAAGTGCAATGCTTTGTTCCTCACAAAGCTATTCTTTCAATGACCATATTCAGATCACACTTGTTTTTTAGTGGCCTGATACTACAGTATGCAGCTTTTTTGCCTGACAGGATTATTCTGGTAGATAAATAGTGTTTTTTTCAGGGATGGGCTAGAGTCATTCTTGACAGTACAAATAAGATCACAAGAGAGATGCCAATGAAGAAAGCCCTTCAGTCCATTTCATTTCATTCTTGTAGAACACTATCCTCAATGGCAACCGAGTGTACTCTATTAAGCCATCTCTGCAGAAGATCTTAGAAGAGAATTTGTGTCTGATCATGTTCAAATCCTTAGCACTGAAATGTGTGAGACTTAACTATGGTGTACCTATGTGAATGGAGGCCACTGTTCAGAAATGCTTGGAGATTTTAATCACAACATGTTACATCACCTTCATATTTCACCGAGTTAGTGTGACAATTGAGAATGGAAGACAACGCTGTGGTGAGAAATTGTTTGCAATGCAGCTGCTCCTCAAACGCACGTATTGTGTCTACTTGACTCAATTGGTGTGTATCACCCTGGCTCAGTTAGAAGCACTCTTATCTCTGAGTCACAAGATTGAGGGTTCAAGCCCCAAGTTGGGACTTTGAATTCATTTAGTTTACACTGACACTCCAATGCAGTTCTGGAGCTGTGCTGTATTGTGAAAGGTGCCATCCTTCAGATAGGACGTATAACTGAGGTTCTGTCTGCCTGTTGAGGTGGACATTAAAGATCCCATAACATTGCTCAAAAATGGAAAGGAGTTTCTCCCAGTGTCCTGGCCATTAATCCTCCAAATAAAATAAAACAAGCTCTTGACGGCTGTTGTGGGATGTTGCTGTGTACAAATTGATAGCCAATAGAAGGGCTCTGGACATGAAAGACACTGTATCAAATATAAAGGTTATTATTATCATTGCTTGTTATAATTACTGGGCATCTTTATCATTTTAAATTGATTTATCAACTTGAAGGAACAGATTACGAGATTAGCTCAATTGTGGGATCCAAGTGGTTCTTCATGTTTCTTCACCACGTGCCCTCTACACCTGCACTGAGATACTGCTGTAACTCTATGGTCAGTGCTGGACATGAAGCAGTATCTCAGCATGTTAAGTTGTGCATGTGCCAACCTCTGGAATCGGGTGTTTGTGTTTTGGAGGTTATTGAAGAGCTTGTTTCTGGAATGACTCCTCAAAAACATTAAAAACAAACTGGACCTTTAACCTTCCTGAGTTGTGTGCTGCACTTCCCGAGGGGTTTCTAGGGACCACTGTGGAGTGTAGCCCAAATTGATAGTCAGTTCTCACCACATTGCTTTTGTAATGGAACAAGGTCAATCATTGTCCTCCGGAAACATGTCCCTGCTCCAGGATATGTCAGGAGTGGGCTTCCAATATGGTTTCAGCTGGCTCGACCGCCAATTATTATTGGAAATTGCTGCCAAGATCAGGGCTACTCAAGGTGGCTTAAAACCAGGACGACTGAGTCTATGCTCTTTCATATTGCAGTAAAAAGCAGCACCAGAACCAAGGCAACCTTGTCGGGCAAAGGGACATTGGCCTAGTGATTAATGGCCTCACAGCAGAGTTTCAGCATTGCTTGCAAGGCCGATGACATTGTGATAGACAGCCTTCCTTGTCAAAAGGATCTTGGCTCGTATTTAATTTAATTTAAAACAGGTCTGTGTCAGGGAGATTGACATGAAAGTTTGTGAGTAAGTAAAGCAGTACTTTGGAAACTATCAAAAGCCCTGTGAAGCACAGAGCCCTGTTGTGTGTTGGGAACATGATAGGCAGAAATTATTTTCCCATTACAATATCCCAAACACGATTAAAACACTGATTAAAAAAAACAAGCTTCAGAAAACACATGCGCCTCTGCATGCCCAGCGCTGGCTTCAGGTATTCAGATTGCAGACAAAATGTAATAATAATAATAGAATACCATTTACATTGGGAAGACATCTCAACGTGCTTGTCACTGCCGGCTGGGCACATGTGCTGGAGGTGGAAGCCGAAAAGGGCTGGTGAGTGGGAGGATGACAGAAAGTTCGGCCAAAGAGGTATGTTTTGAGGCAGGCCTTGAACGAGGGGAGGGAGGGAGTGATCGAGCCAGAGGGATTTGAGGTTTGAGTTCCAGAGAGCAGGAATAGAATGCCTGAAAGCCTGCCTGATGATGGTGTTGCAGATAAGGCAGTGAATCGTGAAGCAGGCCGGTGTTTACTGGGCGAAGGGAAATGGCTGGGTGGGCAGGTTTGAAAGAGATCACAGAGTCAGAGATAGATGATAATCCTTGCATTTGATATATACCACCTTTCACATCAGCAAGATGTGTCAAAGTGCTTCACAGGATATTTTATAAAGTGTAGTGATGTGTATTTTGTAGGCAAATGCAGCATCCAATTTGCACGCAGCAGTATCCCACAAACGGCCATGAAGCGAATTTCCCATGAGCTACTGTAGTTCTGTCAGTGTAGCTCCAAAATACATTTTTCTGGAGGCTTTAACCCTTTTGAGAAAAATGACTAGAAATACGACCTGGTCTTAGCTTGGAAAACTATTTCGTCTTGAAGTTTATGATTGTGCAGAATTCTGGAAAGTTCTTAATTTGCATCTTTATTTGGAAACGACTTTCCTTCTGCTCCTCAGATAAAGTGATTTCTTCAACATCATTTGTAATTGTTATATTATATTTAAAATATGAATGATAATATATATCTCATGAAGGTATAGAATCTAAGATCAGTTTGGATGAAGAAGGCCCATCTAATCCTATCCCTGTAGAGCACCATTCGACCGTCCTCCCATTTACAGCACCATATATTGCATCGGATTGGAACTCCCATTTTCGCCCACAAATATAGACAGTCAATTCACTTTTCAATATATTCGTGAAATGCTTTGAAACGTCTGTGATAAGGTTCTATATCAAATTCAAGGATGATTATTATTATTATTATTATTATTATTATTATCAAGCTGCATTTTAACTGAGTCCAGTGTCCTGGCCTTAACAACCCATGACCAACACGCCCTGGAGTGCTACACCTAATAAACTGCTTTCAAATCAAGGTAATTTGTTGCATCTCCTTTCCGCTCCTTCCTATTTTAATGGTTACAGCAAATTATTCATTGGTCTAACCTGTGTTGTCTGTTGAAAGGATCCTTACATAGCAGAGTAGAGCTTGCATTGAAGAACAGGAATTCCATTCCAAGAGGATGTTGTGTCAGATTGGAGCTCTCCCATTCATCGAGACTCTTTGTTGAAGATTCCTGTAAGAAAAAACACAGATCAGATCTCATTGCTTGTCCCCAATTTCACTTTCAAATCATTTCATGAGGTACCCGATTAGCCATCATCTAAATGTGTGTTATCCAAATCTGCTAGCTAACAATGCGATCATGTTTATGTCGCTGACTCATATATCGAAACCTTCCCCTTCTTCCCTTTACATACTTTATGTAAAGGGATGATTTTAATCACAAAATGTGATAAAGCACTCCGACATGCTATCTGCGTGACGGGTGCTATATAAATTCAAGTTGTTGTTGTTGAATCAGTGGCACTCAGGCAGATTTCAGGAATAGAGGAATGGGACACCTCTTATTTTGTCATGAGACAAACCCTTTAAACAATGTGTTTCTCAGTTGTTTACCTCGCACCGCACTTCCAGTAAATCCAAATTGACAGCGACAAAATGCCAGTTAGGAAGACAAATTGATTTTAAATTCATGACTTATTTCATTTACATGCTGAGTGCAGACATTTTGCAGTGAGATAAGAGTGGTATCTTTCACATTGGCTTGTGAAGAAAGAACGGACTGGCTATCACCTCGCCTGTCATTTTGTATGCAGATGCTCTTGATAAAACAAAACTAGCTCACCAGGAAATGCCAGGAAATGCCAGATATATGAACGGCTAGCAGCAGCACCTGTTAGAGAAAATGTAAGAGGAAAGGTCAAAGGCAACAGTTAGTCTCTCATCATTGTTCATATCAGACATTTGAAGTAAGTGTTGTATTCTGCACTAGTTGTTACAGCAGGTACAATCACAAACTGGACTCAGTTTCTGCTAAGCCAAGGAGTCCTGTAGCTCAGTAGTTAGATCACACGCCTTGCAAGAGAGAGACCTGGATTCTATTCACGGCTGGGCGAAATGTTGGACAAGTTTCCTTACTCCACACGCCTCTGTTTACCTAGGAATAAGTAGGCATCCAGTTGTTAGTCAATTGGCGGATAACTTTTCCAGGGATAATAATACCTCCAAAAAAAAATGTGGTCACTCAATCCACGACTGTTTGTGGGACACTACTGTGTTGCGCAATTGGCTGCCGCATTTCACTCACAGATATACAGTCAATTCACTTCACAATATATTCTGTGAAGCGCTTTGAGACGTCTAGAAGACATGAAACGCGCTATATCAAATGCAAGGATTATTATTTATTATTATAGACTGAAATGTATTTTATTCAGGTATTTTACAATATAGATGATACTTAATGGAAATCAGAAAGACATGAGAATCTGTGCTGCTGAAGACTTCTGGGCTTCCTTTCCCCCCACCCCTCCACCCCCAGCAGATTAATTTTAACATACTCGGATTTACCTTCAAATGCCTGTACAGTCTTGTCCAACTGTACATCTGCCATCTTGTGTGCACCTGCTACACTGCTCACTGTTTCCATCCCTCCATCCCTGATCTGCTTCAGGCCTGCCCCACTCCACCCTGCCTTTCTCGTGAACAAAATTTCAGCCACTTTGCCCCACTCTCAGTAACTCACTGCTGAAACCCCTCCCCCGTTCTGCTTTCAAAACCTGTTTCAAAACCTATCTCTCTAACCTTAGAGCCATGCTCCCGCTCCCAGCTCGGGCTCCAAATCCGTCTTTGCAAAGCACTTCGATATGTTCTCCTACGTGAAAGATGCTATATAAGTGCCAATTGTTATTGTTTTTAAATTGTTGTAAATTTGATGTAAGGATAGACTTTGAGGACTGGAATTTTCAAACTATCGATCCGTTCCGTTCGCCAATTCCTGTCTGAAGCAGACTGTGAGATGGGAATGAATGCAAGGATTCTGTTCTTCAAGTCAATAAGGCATTTTGCAGCCAGCAGAGGGGGCTGGAAAGCAAATGTCGGTGAATTTACTGTCATTTGGCACTGCGCCCTCAGAGTGGGATTTTACATGAATAATAAGCTCCTGAAACCATCTGTCTTCAAAAAAAGTCACTACATTTGACAGTAACCACCTTGGGACATTATCCTGACGTGAAAGGCGCCATATAAATGTAAATCTGTATTGTATTGCAATTTCTTAAAACTTTTTGAAGTGCTTCAACATAAAAATGCAAGCATGGTACCTCTGCTGTGCCTGGATAACTGAGCTTATTATGGGACATAACTGCCTGGAGGCAGGCAGTCGTGCACTCTCATAGTTCTCTCTTCTTCTCCTTCATTTGCATTTACCCACCGATGCCCACAAAGTGCACAGACACTGCACTATACAATACATTTTGTGTAGTGCTGTGAGATGTCCTTAAGCTGTGAAATGCGCAATGTCAAATGCAAGTATTATGTGTTATTAATATTATTATAATGTCTGCTTCACTCAATCTCAAAGTCAAAAATACTGGTCCATAGTGTGTTATAGTCCAGTGCAATGTGAGTGATTCCTTGGCAATCTAACTTTTTGCCTGTACATGTGATTTTCCCTGCTCCCCTGAAGTAATCCATCGATTCTCTTTGTACAGTTGTCCCAACTCTTCCCTCCACAAGCTGTAGATCACCCAGAACTCTGCAGCTTGTGTCCTCTCCCTCACTAGGCTCCATGGCCCCATCACCCACACCCTTGCATGGCTCCACTCAGAGGATGGAATTCAAAATCCTCATCCTCACTTTCAAGGCCCTCCATAGCCTTGCCTCCTCCTACCTCTTTGAACTGCTGACCCCCTATCACCTGTCTGCTCCCTCCGTTCAGCGGACTCCAGCTTGCTCCATTTCTTCCACCCGACCAGCCCTACCATCAGCGACCGGGCTTTCAGCCTTTCTGCCCCCATCCTCTGGAACTCCATCCCACAATCCCTTCACCTTGCTCCCTCCCTTGCCTCCTTCAAGGCATGACTCAAGACTCTCCGTTTCGACAGTGCCATCAGCCGCCCTCTTACCGCTCTGCCCTCCCTCATCCCAACCCTGCACCCCCACGCTCAGGTCCTGATCCCTAACTGTTCAGCACCATGGGATGTTCTCCCAATGTGAAAGGCATTTTACAAATGTAATTTTGTTGTTGTTGTAGTGGGTCAGCAAGGAAAATGAAATATTATTTTGGAGGACTTGGAAATCCAAATTCTGAAACAATAGAGATTCCTCATACTCCAATAATGATCGTCACCATTGTGATGATAACCATCAAATTTCTTCACAATTTTACTCAGAAAAATGTGTCAAAGTTATAATTTTACAGAGGTCATTGACATTTCTGTTTTAGAGAAATTCTTCAACCCACCTACATGATCATGAAAACCAACACTCACTTACAATACATAATAATAATCCTTTCACATCACAAGTTCCTCTCAAGACACTTCACTGGACATGCTGCAAAGTGTAGGCACTGTATTTTGCGCCCAGACGGAGTACCCAATTTCTGCAGGGCAATCTCCAAAATCGCAGAGCAAAATAGCTATGAACAATTTTTAATTTGTGAGATTGAAATGTAATGAGATCATGAAATGTAACCCATTGTGCAATGCATCATATCTAAGTAGTAAATTTGATGGGGACACCAGGAAAAACTCACTTCTCATTTCAAATGGTGGCACAGAATCTTTAACATCCACCTGAACACGTAGATAGTACCTTGGAGTCCTGTAGCTCAGTGGTTAGAGCACTCGCTTTGCAAGCGAGAGACCTGAGTTCAATTCCAGGCAGGGCGAAACCTTGGGTAAGTTTCCTTACTCCGCACGTCTAATAATAATCCCTCCAAAACCAAAAACAATAATAAATTGGTCATTTTCAATCTACGACTGTTTGTGGGACATTGCTGTGCACAATTGGCTGCCACGTTCGCCCACAAATATACAGTCAATTCACTTTTCAGTGTGTTCTGTGAAGCGCTTTGGGATGTCCTCCGAATGTGAAAAGCGCTATATCAAATGCAAGGATTATTGTTATTATTATTATTTATTAGTTTAGCATTTCATCTGAAGGATGGCACCTCCAACAAAGTAGAATTCCCCAGGACTGCACTGGAGGGTCAACCTGGTTTATATGAGTTCCAAGTTCCAAAGTGGGGCTTGAACCCACAAACTTTTGACTCAGAGTGCTACTGTGCCAGGCTGCCCCACATAAAGGCAATAATGATTCAGGGTATGTCTTCTTATTTCTACAATACAAGAAGGCTGGGTTTGGATCACTGTGGTCATTTGGAAGTTGAAATATCATTGCAAATAATTATTGCTCAATTTTGCTTGCAGTGGTTACAGTCAATCCAGTCAAGAGTTTTGACATGAGATCATTGGCTATCAGTCTCATGAAATGTAACCCATTGTGCAATGCATCATATCCAAGTAGTAAATTGTGTAATAAAATATGCTTCTGTGTATTTCGGAATGTGCAATTTTTTCAACACTCACTGAAATATCTGCTGCCAAGCCTTAGTCTGGTTACAATCTGCCTGCAGCCACTCACAGATATGCAGAATGTCCATCCTCCAGCATCTATTTTCAGCTTGCTCACAGACGATTGACTCACTGAACTGCCTTGTCTGTAACAGCTATGAGCAATGCTTCCATAAATATTGCCCCATTTTTGCAGTTCCCTACAGAGTGGGTGGTGGGGTGGGGTGCAGAGGAAGTCACAATTAGTCATAATTCTACATCAGAGTTCTGCATGTAAACTAGGGGTTGTAACTGCCATCGTTTGGCTCCCGCTTGATCCTTCAGTTAGGTAAAAAAAAATCCTCCGACAACACCTTCATCCTTGGGCATAATATTACAAGATTACTGCTTTTCCAATATTCTGGGACTGAGGGCAGAAGTAGAAGCAACCTGCTCACAAAAGACTGCAATTAAGATATTGTTTGAATGCACTCCATTTTGCTAAAAGGTCAGAAAGTGATTTACTACTGCATTATCATCCTCTGCCCCGGACTGAATTGTATGTTTAACTGAAATTGTGCTTTTTTTCAAATACTGCTCAGCAAACGGACTGTGTGTTGTGATAATTTTGCTAAGTACAGTACTGCTGTTCACATAATTTCAAGGAGAATCGCGGAGATACACAATTGTACAGAAAGATGATATGCAAAGGGCAGGGCAATATCCTGGTTTTACTCTTTCTACCTTGGAAGACCATTTTGTCCTAAAATCTAAAATTTAAGGTTGAGCAGAATTGTGGAAAATACGAAATAGCACCTTACCACATCATCTCAAAGCGCTTCACAGAATATACCGTAAAGTGAATTGACTGTTTTCTGGGAGTGAAACATGGCAGCCAATTGTGCACAGCAGTGTCTCACAAACAGTCATGGATTGAGTGACCAAATTATCATTTTTTTAAAGTGATTATTACCCTTGGACTAACGACAGAGTTTCTACTTACTGCTTGGTAAACAGCAGTGTACAGAGTAAGGAAACTTGCCTAACGTTTCACCTGCCCGGAATTTGAACCCAGGTCCCCTCGCTTGCAGAGCGAGTGCTCTACCCAATATGCTATATGACTCCATATACATTTGATATAGCACCTTATTATGTTGAAATAGCTCAAAGAGTTTCACAAGATTTTACCAATATGTGCAGTGATGGTATCTTGTAGGCAAACCCAAGTGAAAGGAGTGATATATGATGTGTTAATTATCACCAGTGCTAATTAGCACATTGGTGTTAAATGGGTAAAGAAATCAGTCAATAATAAACAACATCTGCTGGCTGCAGGTA